GCAGACGGAACCTCTGCGACACTACGGACTTGACATTATATTAAGTTCCTCAGATCTATGTCATTGGTGTCGAATAGTTCTTTTGGATGCCTATTGTCTAGTATATCTTCGGCTAGTATCTGCACAGTTGTCATGGTGTCGGTTGGAGTAATTGCTAATATTTTGAATACTTTGATATGGCCATGTTAGCGTGGGAGGCATGTTCTCTTTGGAAATTTAGTGCTTTTTCAAAAATTTTTGTCTGACTTTCGTTTTTTTATATTCTAATAATTATTATTTTTTTCTCTGCATTATTTCTCTAGATTTTCCTCTGTTTCTTTAAGCCATGTTTTCTTTGCACTTATAATTTGCTATTTAAACTACGTAAAATATTTTTTTTGTACTCCCTGTTTTAATTTTTCTGTTTATTATTTTCTTTGCCTTTATTTGTTTATGCCTGTTGTTCGTTTTTACCTCTCGTAAACCTTAATTTAGAATATTACCTGTTTTGTTACACCATTCTTTCCCATAACTTCTCTAGTGTCGCTTTTTACAGTTTTAGTTTCACCATACCTACTCAATTTATTCCAAATTTTTAGTATATTGCAGATATTATCTGGACATGATTGAAAAACTGCGACTCCTTCGCAATCTAAATTTAGAAAATTTGTAATTAATTAACAAACCTTGTAGCCCAAAGCGCGTTAGGCATCTGTTATAGCAGATGGCCTCTATCTTGGCTGCTTTTGGCCGACGGCCAAAAGTAACGAATGATGGTGACATCATGAAATCGGGAGCGCTAGTTTCTGCTTTAGAATGGAATTTGGACATTAAATATTGCGCCGTGAACTGGGGGCCAAAACACGCACGATTTCAGCGCTTACGAAAGCACTAAAGGGTGAGATACACCCAGACTGTTACCATGTTCTGTCTGCAGTAAAGTCATCCATTCCGTCCTCCTTTTCCGTTCTTGTGGTGGGCCGGAAACCTACGCACCAACGCCCCATCTACCACTGCTACTTGTACAACCACGTTTTAAAGCCAATAAATGATAACTCAAATTATGATGCTGAAAGTCTATGAAGAACAAATCATAACGTTTCGACGACCCTACGCTTGACATGGCCCCAAGATCTGCGAAAAAAAGCACCGAGAAAGCGGATAAAATATATTGTCTATTGTACTGGTAAACAGAAATGCAATGGTGAGCAGATAAGCGTACACCTACAAACAATTAATGCTATTCACACGACGAATGAGGAAGACGGGAGAGGAATTCACGCATATCGTACTCCTCTGCATATTGAGTGGCTTCAAGATCTCCCCAACTGACTCCAGCAGAGTTCTCCGCCTGGTCCGAGAGGAGTTGGTGGTCAGTGCCTGTCGAAGAGGTCAAATTATCTAACAACTGCGTCGTATCCATTTCTGCCAGGGAACGGTTAGCCGGTTGGGAGACAAGCGCACGAGCCAAGTGCGTCTTGAAGGCTTGCAAATTCATTATGCGCTCCTCAATGCTGTCTGCCGTGATCAAACGGTAGACATTCACCATCCGACGCTGACCAATGCGGTGGGCACGATCCATCGCCTAAAGCGAATAAATAGTATTACAAGGGTACTAGAGGTGGCATAAAAACATCTTTCATTATAACTGTCTGCAAGAGAATGCCTGAACGTTTTCAATTAAATTGATGAATTCGTCCGGAAGGAAATCTACCTTTCTAGAATAAAAATCCGCATATAGAACCTCAGGGATAACTCTAACAGCATGATGTTTGCTATAAGAAAATGTACGTAAAAGTGATTTAGCTCTTGCCTGCAGGTCCTTGCAGGGGTTCCAATCGTGCTCCACAAATATGACCGTGTCGGCGCCGGTCAGGTTTAGTCCCAGGCCGCCAACAGATGTTGTGAGAAGCAACATGTCAATCGAGGGATCCTCATTGAACCTAAAAGGGTTGGAAAGAGACTTAAACATCGGATAGAGACTCTTCGATTCCTAAGAAAAGTGCACTTTGTATCCAAACGCGTACCTGGTGACGAGTTCCTGACGTTCAAGCACCGACACCATCCCATCCAATCTCAAAAAAGCGACATTTTTGAATTCGGACCTGGTAAATAAATAACAGAATGCATGCGAGTCGACCGCAAGGTCACACTTTTGTGAAAACTGAGATAAGCGTGATTTGTGATTTCTGACTACTATTTGAGAAGCAAGAAATATAGGGTTTCAATGTGGTGGCTATGAAATCCGTTTCTACAAGCCAGGTAATCAGGGGAACTCGATATTTAACTGAAATAAGGGTAAAGAAGAGGACTTACGCGAGGAGGTTAATGACTAGAGACAGCATCTTTTTGGTTTGGAAGAAGACGAGGGCTCGATGCTGACCCATTAGGTCGCTAGTGTCTTCGGTGACGTCATCATCGACAGAAGCGACACCACCAGCACCGCTGCCACCTCCGCGGCCCTCACCGAATCCGCAGTCAATAAAAAGTTGCCTAAGGAGAGACAACAGGTACATCTACAAGGAGACACAGACGACAGTTCATGTGGCAAAACAATCCCGAGAACCGGTAACCCTTCTTTCCGCGGGAAAAAACAGCCCTTTGAGGTGGATAATATATCAGACTTTAGCGTTAATTTGAACTAACAAGAAGCGGGGCCGTATGACCAGCGAAGGTGTTATTGCTGATGGAACAATGGGAAAGAGGTGTGTCTGATGAAATTGTGTGAAACTCCCACACTCCGTATACCGGGACGAGACAAAGAAGGTTAAAACACAGCGAGGATTTGGGCCCTCGCCGAAAGCCATCCACAAACATGAAAGTGGGCTAGGAAAATGAATTGGATGATCAGCAAAAAGCAAATGCGGTTTGAAATCAAGGAAACGGAAATAAGTTATTGAAGCTGTCACAAAACTACTCGATAGTCAGCACAAGGCCTAAACTTTCGAACCGCACACGCCTCCTGATTTCTACTTGGCGTGTGCGCACTTCTACACTCTCGCTCCGCGCCGCTGCTAGTCCGTCGGCACCGTTTAATGTCACGTCTCGTTCTTGCACGTCAAACTTTTTTATCACACAAAACGTAGGTACAGCCCTTGGCAATTGTGAAAAAGAATTCGCATACGACCTATTCGTATTCCCATAATACTGACGCCCCCACGCACCGCAGACTTTAAACGACTTCGAATCCATGGGCTCTCGAGCATCGAGTCCATCAAAACTGAAATTTACAAGGATTCTGTGGGGGTGTGGTGGAAGACATTTGGTTAAACAAAGCACCACACCGAGCCGGATAGAGGGAATGAAACAAAACCCGCATTGAACAAACCTCAGGGCCACCAGCTTTCCGGACAGCTGAACATTGTTCAGGTCGTCAGAAATTCCCCAAACGCCGGAGGCCAAGCGATCGACCGCCCACCCGTAGAGAGGGTGTGCGGGAGCCAGAACAAGACTCGGGTGGTTGCACACGGCTAGCAGGTACTTTATCGAACGAAAACCACCCGGACCACTTCTGGCAGACGAGGGGTCGTTAGAATAAGGCGGGCTCAGAGCGTGTTGGCCTTCCTCTGTTTTCGAAAAGGTCTCGTAGAGTTTCAACTGAAGCAATAAGAAGAAGAAGAGGATGAAATAGAAGGCCATAAAAAGTAGCAGCTTACTTCAGTGGCGTAAAAATGTTAAATCTAAGGGATCGAAGATGGTCACGCCGCACACAAGCAATAATTCAGGGCATATTGACACTTCACTGCATATCCGCAAACAGGGAAATTAGTCAAGTGAACACGACACTTGACACCTCATTGATCGACTCTCCTACCACGACCAGAAGGTTAAGCGAATCGTCGAATGAGAGGCAGCGGTTCGCAGACGTACCTGCAGAGGAGTCATGTTGCAGAGGTAGTCCTGAATGACCTTGGGCGGAAGGTCCTGGAGAACATCCTCCTTCAGGCGGCGCAACACAAAGGGTAACACAATGCGGTGCAGCTCTTCCAGGGCCTGTTGGCCTGCGCAAAAGGAGAAACGGGGTCAAAGAACGTCATATTGGAAGGGGGGAAGAGCCACACGGCAGACACCCACCTGCTCTCTGCTCCTCGGCGCTGGCCTTGGGATCGCAAGTGGCGAGCACGGGGCGAGCGAAACGCGCCACAAAGGACGCCTCCGTCTGACCGAGGAATCCGGGCATGAGGAAGTCAAACAGCGACCACAACTCGTTTACACGGTTTTGGATGGGCGTGCCGGTCAAAATGAGGCGGTGTTTGGCACGCAGCTTCTTGACGGAACGTGACACCTAGTTAGCAAGGAAGGAAGGCCATGTTAGCGTGCGACTCGCATTCTCGACCAATGCCCCGATTCTTTCACATCAAAAGCTCTTTTGTCGGGCAACGGGCATTGTGCGGTAGGTTTGCTTATCAGCGACGTTAGGCACCTCTATTTCGGAAAGTGTTGGTTCACGTTCATCGCCCCTAGAGAATGCCTGAGTCATTCGCTCGATTCAAACAATCCCAGTGTCCACTTAGCTCGCCCATCACAGTGACGCAATCGCTTATGCCGACGCATCATAGCATGCATCCCTGTTTCTATACATCGCCTGCTGGTACGCACGACCTTGAATGGCAACAACAACGCATGAGTGGATTCTAGATCCAAACTGAAGGCTTCTACAAAGTGCAATCTGGCCTTATGCTGGAGGTTCAAGCACCTGTCACGTCTGGGCTGGAAATTTCGTTGATCAGGTGATGACAATCGGAGCAACTACGGGGTCTGGGTGTGGCAGCAATAATTTTAGACAAATTCCGGGGGCTGGTCTTGACACAAATCAAACCAACCTTGGACTTGCTGTTTTTGATTATGTGTCCCTCGTCGAGAATGAGGTACTCCCAAAAGGTCTCCCTGCAACGAAAAAGAAAATTAATAAAGAGAAGGGCCATGGAAGGTAAGCAGCACAATTGCAAAACTCACATGAAAAATGAAACGTCGTTTCGAACGATGTCGTAGGTGGTGATTAGGAGGTTGCAGCGATCGGAAATGTGCTTTTGGAGTCTGAAAAAAAGTGAAAAAATCTGCTTTGATAAACAGAGAGAAAAAAAGCATGTTACGTGGGAGACAAATGTACGAAACCTTTGTGAGCTTAACCGAATGGCCGGTTTGGCGAAGTGGTCAATGCGTGCAGGGGGGTTTTGGACAGTGTGGGGAGTACTACATTAAAAGTAAGCCAGAACATCCGACACGTTTTGCGTTCACACACATGCACCTTAGTAAAACTTTGTCGGGCTAAGAAGAAAGTCAACGCGAATGTTTAATGTCGCACATTTTGCCCGCACTACACTCGAGTTTTACGACATTGAACATGCGTTTGGAAGGCAATTTCGTCATTCTAAAGCAACGCTGTTGTCCATCCTCCCACAAGCTCTAATTTTACCGACAACGAAGTGCCAAATCAGCACTTTCGATACCAAAAGAGACGGAAAAGCAGTCATCGATGTCGAGCGAGTGGAGGGGAGATTTTAACCTCAATGTGGCCTCGCTCGCTTCGTTTAGACGCGCTCTTGAACGGATGTACACGCCTAACCACGTAGCAGGGCTTCGTCAAACAAGTAAACTGTCATTGGCCACAGTTCAGGAGATGGGAGCACCATTACAATCAACAACTATGGGGGCCTAGGGCATAGGCATTATAGGTACTACTGCGAAGGTTTTAGTGAAACGCTATCACAACTTCGTGAAACAGTTGGAGAACACATGATACAACAGCTGTTAATGACTAAGAAAATGAACAGACTGCTGCCTAAACCCAGTAGCGCCATCAAATGAAGGGATTACGATAAAGTGGAAGTAACAGACACAGGTGATTTAATGGGCGATGGGTGGTGGAATAGAAACTTGACGCTTCTGCAGTTCGAGAGTTCCGCAAACTGACGAGTGGATAGCTGAACCACCAAAAGAATCGAAATGCAAACATACAAATCCGTGGCGTATTGAAAATAGGGCAACAGGAGATCACTTGAGACCAAGGCCCAACTAATTGAAGACACTTAAATAAGAAGTGGCTCGAGGAGGTGTTCTGTCTCGTGAAGCCCCAGGCGGAATCACAACCACCAAGAACGAACCGCAGTAAAAGGGTCAGGCAGGCTTACTGAGTCCTCTGCTCCTGTGTTCCGAGGTAGATGACTGGTTTGAGAATTCGCCGATTCGGGACAAATCTGACTACCTCCGTGGACCAGTGCGAGCACAGAGTTGGCGGGCAGACAACCAATGAAAGCGCCTTGGTGCGTCGTGGACGCTCGCGGTGGTGATTGGCAAGCGCACATATAGTCTGCAACGTCTTCCCCAGACCTAGATCGTCGGCGAGAATGCCGCTTAGGCCGTAGTTCTTGAGGAATAGAAGCCAGTTGACGCCTTCCTAACCAGAGACAGAGGTGTGCATCAACAAAGCTGGAGTTCGATGCAATGACACAAGCAGGTCATTCCACTTACCTGTTGATACGGCCGAAGTTCAGCCTTGATGGTGTCGTCCGGGGTGTAGAGGCGAATTTCATTGGGTCGAAGGAGGCACTGAACAAAGGACCTGCCCTTCTCCCGCGATTTTTTGAGAACAGGATGCATGCAAGGATTCTGCGGCTCCGGAGCGGATTCCTACAGTAAAGGCAACTTGTGTTACGTGTCCACTGTCGAATCCTTCAAGGGTCCCGAATTGACTGGGACATGTTAAATATACCTCTAGTGGAAGCAGAATCAGCAATTTGGTGAATATGCTCGAAGCCAACGTTCGCACATCAGGCCTGGGATCAGCGAATCGCTTAAGCACAAAGGTGGTCAGCATGACAACCACGTAGACTAGGAGGGGCTGCACGGGAGAGGCGTCATCGGTGGACACGTTGACCGCCTCCTTGAGCCCTACTCCGTGGAGTTCGGGGGAGAGGGGTTGGTCGCCTGGGGCAACACGCAGCGTCCTGAAGACAAGGCTCTCGGTACGAGGGGTGAGTATGCAGTCAATGATATCTGATTTGACGAGTTAACGGGAAACACCGCTTAAATAATTGACCTCAAATTCAAGCACAAACAGACTGGATTAATGATCTAGAGGTTGATAGCCACATGGATCACTCGTTCACTTGCTATACGGTACCATCTTTGTTAGAGGATGGGTAATCAATGCGAATCCGATGGTGAACATCGTGGGTGCTTACAGAGCACGATCCGGATAGTTGCATGACCTAAGATTTATAATGAAGTTAATCGAAATCCGATAAGCGGATTTCCGGAGCATAAACGATATCTGAGATTCCGGGTTCAACCAAGGAAGTGACTACCATCACTGAACCTGGTTAAACAGTAGTGTTGGAACGAAAACTACTGACAAGGAGCGCTAAAGAGAGAGGCGACGGCGAGAGTTACACAAAAAAAACACGAAATCCCGAATGACAGTACAGCAGTTAAAAAACCCGTGTGTGGATCCAAACTATTGGAGCTAGTTTAAGAAACACTCGGCCACAGTGCGCAAACAAACACACTGACATGTTGACCCCATAAAAGTGGGTTAGTAAGACGAAAAACGCCCCAGAACAAGTGGTGCACATGCTAAATTCATTGATACCACGTGTTTCACAGGCCAGAGCCACATTAACGAGAGGGAATCTTTGAACTAGGTGCGGTATGGTGAGATTAGGGCAGCTTAAAAAGGATACGATAGATGGCTTCGAGGGCGGCGATCTGGCGGGATAGCTCGTCGTCGTCGCCGTCGTCGTTGGCGGAGGATGAGGGCATGAGACCCACGAGGAGGGCGTTGAGGGTGCGCACAGTGGACTCGAGACTCACCACGGCGATGAGGGCGAGGGTGTGTGCGGCGACGTAGCGGAGGCGCGGCGCGCCCGGCAGACACAGGCAGCGGAGTGCGAGTGCCAGCAGACCCTCGAGGAGCGCACACGCCGACGCATGGTCCTCACAGGCCAGGAACGCAGCTGGCATGAGGTAGAGAGCTCGAGAGAGCACATCCGTGTCGGATGGAGTCACGCTGAGGGCTACAAGAGACGACGAGGAGAAGGAATCAACCAACAACTAGCACGTCTATTCAAACAGAACAAAAAGATATGCTTACGTTGGGTTGGCTGATGTCTTAAAAACTCCACATCATCGGAAAAATCGGCAACGCCAGCTTTTCCGCCCCCGCGCAACACCCTTAGGGGCTCCAGCCACAGGAATTGCCAAAGCGTGGGGAGCCGACGGGAGAGGGTGTCCTTCAGACTGGAGCCCGTGGAATCGGAGGTGAAAGTACGAAGGAGGGCAATGACTGTCATCAGACTGCCAGATCGACGCAGCTGCGACAAGGCCTGTCTCCGCGCGATGTCCGCGTCATTAGCTACAGCTAGAGACGTCAATTTTGGCGTCTGGGGAGCAGTACTTGATATCTAAAACGTGGCAATCATTGTTATTACTTACAAGACCACGTTTTTTTCACTTCTGTCAATAATCGACTAAGAGGTTACAGTGAGGGACTTGTGACACTCCCCCTTACGTGCGCTACCTCCAAGTTCCCTTTATCATCGATCAGACGCTGAAGTCATAGCCGCAACAACAACGAACGTACCGATGAGGAAAAACCATTATTTTCGGAGGCTGAAGTCGTGCTTGTAGGTGACGAGGCAGCCTTTTCCGACGGAGACGCACTCGATGTCGACTCGGGTTGCTTGGATAGTAACACTGTTAAACAAACAGAATGACATCCATTTTCTTCGCTCTCTGCGTTCGCAATCAACGATTCTACATAAATACGAAGATAAAACAACGGTTACGATGACGCAAATAAAAGCACTGCAGACATGTAAAAAAAGGCATTGCAAAACGGTCTCTGCACGGAGGTTGCGTGGAAGACGCGAATGGGGAATGAAGCTAGTCTACGCTCTTACCTCTCAGAAATGGCTATGAAGTGACTAAGTAGTGGGGAAATGGTGATTGGTGAAGTTCACTGAGCCAATTTCTTCCAGGGTGGACCAGACAAACGCGGTCGAGTTGACTTACCCCACTCGTCATACTCGTCCGGAAGGATGTACTTGGCCAGGTTTTGGGTCACCTTGACCAGCGCCTTCGAAGGATTCGTGCAGTTTGGCTCAACCGATACACTCGGGCGGTACTCGGCCCACAGGAGGCGCACCAAGTTCCACGCGGCGAGGCGCTGAAGACGCAGATTCTCGCCCGGATTGGGGAGGTCGGCGGCGACGCGAAGGGTGAGGAGTTGGTGGCTGCAGTCGTTGTCGGTGGAGGAGGATGTCGACGATGAAGCGGTGGAAACGGGTTGTGTTGCAGCACGAATAGTCTCCATAAAGGGACGGATCAGGGGCGTCAAGCGACCAGAGGTCACCCAGCCAAAGTTTACCAGAGCCGACGAGAGCGAGAGCTCTACCCTATAAGTAAAAGGGAACTTTAGATGTTAGTTTGCCCGAATCGAAGTAACGAAGAAGGTCATGGAATTAACCGTTGGGGTTAAGGGAGGCAAAGAGGGTCGGGAATCAAGCTAGTAAAATCACAGTTGTCCACTGTTAGAAAATGTTGAGTTAAAGGCGGTAACGTGATTCTGCGAAGAAGACGTTGAAACATAATGAGGAAGCAGGACTGTGGTTTTCAACGATGTACGTTTCTGTGTGTTGATTATTGTGAAGCACGTCTTCAGGGAAATCGAAGCGCATCCGAGGTGGTAGAGGTAAATACCTGCGCAGAATATCACCTCGTTTCACGACTGCACCAGCGTGTCTTGACTTACAGCCAGCGTGCAACACTTAGCTACAGATCGGTAAGCACATTTCAGAGAGGTCTGCTACGGGTTACATAACCATTCAAATAGCGGGAGACAGGATTTTTTCAGGAAATAGTGGGGGCACTATATGCCTGCAAGTGAACCAGCAATCCAGCCCAGAAAAAGAGTAAGCTTATTGAAGTTAAAAAAAAAACTTTTTGAGTGCAGCTACACCAAGAAATAAATCACGACGAAGTGGACACATAAAGAGGAGATCTGGCAGGTTTGAACGAGCACAAAGCAGGGCGAACTTTCGTGCTCAAATCACGTCATAAAAGCTTAGGTATTACCACCAACGTCAATATAAATTGTTTGTTTTTGGGTGCGGTTGAGTTCATGCCGGTTTATAAAGACACGATGTATTGAAAGGGGCTTCTAAACTTTTTCGTCAAATCAGAGATTCTTGTCGAAAGACGAAACAGTTTTACTTCATGCACTGAAATCTGTGCATAGATGAACTTGAAATAGACGTGGAAACAACTTTCATTAATGTTCTGCACTATTACGACGTCGTGCACTTTTGTGGGGCAATTCAGGTAGTGTCATGGTAAACTACAAACCACCAGCATGACCGTTTTCGAGAGATGGTCTTGTAGGCGATGATTGTTTTCAAAAACAGGGCGATCGCAATGCATCTGAGACCCTATTTCGCTAATGACGATTTGCTTGGTGAAGTAATTTTCAATTCATGCGGTACGCTAATAGGGAGCTTCGTAACGCGTTTGTGCCACTTCAAGGCACATGATCACGAACCAAATTGAAATTGCAATTATGATCGGGTCAACTCTAGGTGAGGACTCTTCAGAACAGGATTCCCTCGACCAATTCACACAACCCCGCTTTGTTAAGACCTTCCGTTTCACAGAGCTTGTTCTGAGTCACGGCATTTCCCTGCGACGAAGGTGTGGGTTTTTGGGTTTCAGGCGAAAACTGACGGCAGAAAAAGAATGCTTGCTGTTTTAGGATATCAATATCATATTATTGCAGCCCAGGGTGTGCTGCCAGTTGCTTTGGTTCGGTGTTTTGAACGGCAGTGACCTTGGTGTGTTGACGTGTACACAAAGAAATCAACGTTTAGTAAACAAGCGCTGTTTTCAGGCTCGACTCGCGTGAGTAAAACACACAGAGGCGCCCAACAACCAAGTTGGCAAATAGGTTCGGACACTACGTGGATGCAGTGGAAAGAGATGCAAGAAATTAGCACCCAAGCGTTGCACATGCGAGAAGACTGTCCACATACGCATCTAGCAAAGACTCAACAACCGCCCCATGGCACAGGCGGTGTGAGATTGTCAAATGCGGCTACTTAATACAGGGAGTGACCGGTTTTTGCGGCGACGCACCTCGAACTCCAAAACAACTGCAAAGCGAGGCACCGGTGCACGGAGAGCTGGGCTTTCTGCAGTGCCGTCTTCACCTCCTCAACTTCCAAGGTCAACGAGGCGGCAGTTGCCGCCGTGGGGAGGTCCTGGGAAACACGCTTGAGCAGCTCCTGGCACTCCACGATGTTCAGCACGCCTTCGCTTCTGCAAAAATTAAAACGAGTATTGTGTCTTCTTAGGTTCTGTGCAATGTTAAGTTGAACTAATTAGTCTTATCAACAAAAACACGTTTGCTTAGCTGCACAATAGCCCCCAGTGCTAAACGAACTCCCTAGTCGATCTACACCGAGGCATTTCAAGCAGAGGTGTTTTCTTGTTTAATTCTTTTTCAACTTAGCAGCTGCGTGAGCAACAGGCTAGTACGTTATATTTTGCGTCTACGTGACTTTCAGAAGAAATCGGGGTAGGCAGATTAAGAGATATCAACCAAGGTGTCAGGATAATGGTGGTGACGAAGCGACTACAACGACGCGATTAATCACACACCCCCCCCGGTCCACCCCTTCTACCGTCGTGAGTCGGACAGGTTGCAAATCTTAAGGTCGAGTGAGCATGGTACCAGCAACACACAAGCAACTCCTGACTGGTAATGTTCTACTAAAATTGAGAGAGGTTTAAAGTGATTGCACCAAGGTAAAATTGAAGGGCCGACAATCCAGCCTCCTTTTAAACGCCAACGGGAATTCGAATCCGGGATAGCGCGCGCGAGCGAAGCACAGCTATGCGACGAGCCACACTACCACGAATTGAATTCGTCGAGTTCCAGCAAGACAAACCCCAGACGCAAAAAACACAAGATGTGTGTGTGTGAGTGTGGGTGGGTGGGTGAAAGGTAAGCACTCACGCCTTTGGGAGACCAGTCTGAACGGGCAAGTTGGTGGCTTCGCACAGCGCTCGGAGCCGATGACAGTCCTCTTGCATTGTCTTGAAGACACCTAAACGCAAAAGGAACATTTGAGAGAGACAGCATCGTTCAAAGTGCTGTTTTTGAAAACGTGCTTGCAAAAATAGTCAATAGGCGTGATCAGGTACCACCTGGTGCGTCCTCCACCCCAAATCAATAACTCAAATTTTGTTAGAACGTTGACACTGGCACGATACAAAGAGCATGCGACTGCCTCAAACACACCGAGAATCTCCTCGTAGTAGGTGACGTTGGTGAGGCAGGCCTGAATGCGCGCCTGGAGGCCCGATGTGTGGAGGGAGAAGGCGTTGGTAAGCGAGGGGGGCCAGGCGGCAAGGAGGAGGCTAGCGACGAAGCGTTGCATCGCAAGGCGATCCTTCAGGTGGGCCTCGCTCACGACGCGGTTCAGCAGGTAGGCGGGCACCGACATGGCCGTCTGGCAGTCCGAGGGATCTGCGGAGATGACAGACGTCGAGCACTGGCACAAGCGACTACAGAGGTTTGCCAACAGCCTGAAAACCAGCAGGTTACAGCATCGATTAGGGAGGCGTAAAACGGACCTAACCGCTTTGGCCCAACTCGTCGACCGAGTCATTGGAATAGGTTAAGGCATGAATCTTCACGAATTTATCGGTGGTATTTTTGCTGTTAATTTACCCGTGTTCAAAAAGCTATGTCGTTGTGATTCTTCTTTACAAAATCTTCGTTCTTCAATCCCAAAGACACAACTCACTACAACCAACCGACTAACATCCATGAGGAGCGTTTAAACGCGCTCTTGAAATAAGAGTACATGCCTAATCGTGCGACACAAGATGATCAAACAAATGAACGACGACCATAATGCCGTCTGCTTCCACCTGAACTCAAATCAAGGCTCCTGCCTCCTGCTGGCACAAAATTGGTGTCATTACGTAAAGTTTAACTGGGAGGGGGGTGAGTGAGCAGGCGCAAGCGCAGGTTCCCACCTCTGCAAGAGTGCGGCGAGACTGTGACGGTTGCTCACACTGAAAGTTGCTCGTGGAGGATCAGAAAATCAATCAGCATCTCGTCGTTGTCTAATTACGACCCCTAAACGAGGCCATTTAACAGGAGCGACCGGATCCCAAGGGGTGAACTTATGGACAAACGTCCTAACCCAATATTTCGCCAAGTATTCTGGTGAACACACATCGCTACATAGGTGCAAGCCAGCGCGCGCAACTTTGATGCAAGCAGTACGCAATTGGCTTCTCTTTTGTGCAGTTGAGAATCATTCCTTCACCTCAACACCTAACACGGAGACGCCTGCCTGAACGGCTTTATCAAAGACATCCACAAGGGGAGTGGGAAAGCGGAATAAAGACACTCACGAGGTTGCGGTGATTCGGGTCTCCAGAGCCAACACTTGACGTTCGCGTTCGCTAGTCGAGCCCAGTTCGTAACCGCCGATGTACCAGCGTCCAGACGTCTCCTTTCACATGGATAAAAAACAACTATATAGTCTGCAACACCTCAAAAATTGAGTTGGTTCACACACGCGCACACACTCAATCGCTTGAAGTGAATTCTTCAGGTTAGAGGGGCGACTGGCCCGTCGGAAAGATTTTTTGGTGATCATGTGTCATAGAAGTTCCTCTTAATCACCTAGAAGTGTGAAGTGAGGTGCAACATGATGGAAGTAACAACACCACTGCGTTAGTTAATGAGAAAGCCGAATATTTTCACACACGTTTCAGATGTTTCGCTAAACTGGAGTGTTTTTTTTAGCAGAAAAGAGTTCAAGGCTAGAACCGACCAGGTTTTTTTACACGTCCACCTGACACCGCCCGACATATCACGGCGAGCCTGTCTGCTCCCACACCCCTGGGCAAGCACCCACCCCCCGCTGTCCGCTTCAGTCATCTGGCCACTCAGTCGTTTGTACTTTTAAAAGTCCACTCAAACTGCACCAGTCAATGGGTCATGGGCGGCTTTGAATGTGCGCACACGGCACCACGACTTGTTTGAGACGCACAATAAACGGTTGAGTCTCTTTCTCCAGTCCTATTTCTTTCTTGGGTACTGTGTGTTGCATTGTGCCGCAACAGTGGTCTGGGGGAACTCTGCGTGATCGTCGTGGCAACCGAGTAATGGGATACACGCGACTGCTTAGCAAAAACCACGATCATGAAACGCCTACACACGATGTCACTAGTGGTGGAAAACTTCCCATTTGATAAGTTAAACTCGAGAATGTCGATACGGGAATAGGTGGATTCATGGAAGTGGGGTGAAAGGTATTTGCATGAGTTCTGAAGGGAAATCGATAAACTAGAGAACATCAAGTCTGAAAGCCGTCAATCCAGTTTGCAAACGACGAGATCACTCACCGGGACGACGAGGCTGGTCTTGGAGGTGAGCAGACAGAGCATGTTGTCCGCGAATGGCAGCGACGCGGGCTGCATCGCCTGACACAGCCAAAAGTCCACTCGGCTGAGGGTGGACCGAACGAGAAGCGGAACGGGCGTGGCATTCACCATCTGATCCCACAGCTAAAATCGAGGTGTGGAGTTGATGAAACAGTGCGCCGACAGGTATTAAAGTGAAAGGGGTGGTGTCTCGCTGGCAATGGATGTACCGTGAGTTAGCCGCCGGATTAGCGGATTTGTGGCAAGACGTGCGTTTCCTATGTGTTGACACAGTTCTTATTATAGCACGGTTACCCTCTGTAACTCCACTCACTTCACTTTCACATCTTTGTTTTACGCCGAGGAATTCGTCTGCATGTTAGCCACACACACATACACAAACATCTGTCGGTCAAAAAAAAACAATTGAGTTCTCCCCACTAAGCTTGACATGAGTTTGGGTAACACATTGGAGCCGCTTTGAGCCGATAGGGCAAGCACGCAATCGCGCAATCACGAACAACTAATCGATTACTTGTGTGAAAATTCCGACAATTTGCCTCCAGCATCAGCTCGTGGCTAATAGGTTTTGGGAATGATCCGACAAGCAGCTCCGAAGTTCGATTGGCATACAGTAAGGCATCTCAACAGTACTTTCAAGCCGTGTCTAACGATTATACGAAGGCCTCTGTGCATGAACAGTTCACAATACTTACTCCATTCATCTGGCCTTTCAGTTATTTCTACTTTTACAAATGCACTCAGATTGCATTGATCAACGACCCACATTAGCCGGACATGACCTTTTTGTGCAAAGTGGCCCAACACACACCTAAGTTGAGCCATCTGTGAAAAACGGATATGTCTCTGCCATCTCCGGTTCTCTTGGTCGTTCCGAGTAACCACCTAGCGTAACAGGGGGAAAAGACATGATGGGGTCTTCAACAGTACTAACGTGATGGTCGAGGTAAACGACTGGTCTACCAGAGCCGCCTTCCATCGAATTTGAACATGGGGACCTGCGCAAGTGAAGGACACTCCTGCCAGTTCTAGGATGGAGCGTCTTGGTTAATCGTCGAACGCAACAGAACAGTACGCACGGAACGGCACACGAATCGCCGATGTGTCGCAAGAGATTCCCACTGTAATACAGAGTTATGTAAACAATCTCGTCGCTGCGCCCAATTATTAATAATGCCTGTAGCATTACCTGCAGAGACGCTTCATCTACACGCCAGTTGGGCAGAAAAATAGGCAATTATGGGACATTTAATTTAAGGAGGGAGTCATCGGCAAAAACATCTGAGGCGAGGGCACGAAATGAGCAATTTGGCGCGGCTCACCTTGCAAATCGAGCGTATAGGCTTGGGGTCGGATTCCAGTAGGATGCGATGGAAAAGTTGTTCAAACACGGACTCGAGCACTGCTGGCTCTACGAGCAGACCCTGCAAAGAAAAGTGCATCCACTGAATGGTCTTGCGTGAAGAGGGGAGAGACACTGGGCTCTCGTATCGATCGGGATCGTCAACAAACGCAACACAGCCGTGTACAGCGGTAGATGTTGTCGTTGTGGGTAGTTATTCTAATAGGACAATCAAATTGGGTACCCAGTGATCGCCCTGTGTTTGTGTGGAATTAGGGCAAACGAGCATCTGGTAGGGAAAATAAACACAGGTATTCTCGAGTCACACCGTCTTTTGGGAGAATAGGACGCACATACCTCCTGCATTCGGATAGACAACAGGGACTGAAGGGTGAGCACAGCTGTGCGACGAATTTCTGAGGAGGAATGATGCAAAAAATGGAGGACGAGGTTGACGCGTTTCGAGAAGAGATCGCTATCATCATCAGCCTTTTCAGAGGCACAGCCACTTGCAGAGCCATCAACGCCCCCAGCAACCACCTCATGTGCTGTCGAAGGCCTTGAAACAAAAAAAAACGGTAGTAGCAAAAATACATTTTTAGAACACCACTGTGGGGGCGTCTATGGGGTCGCGCCCAAGCAAATCGACACCAACACGGTGTGTATGTGTGTGTGTGAAAATACGCGTTAAGTATGACAGAAGGATCCACAGTGTTTCCAGAAATAGAATGTCGGGCGCAGAATCAATTAAGGCAATGGGGAGATGCTTGGACTAGTTTGAGTTGACTACTATGCAGATTAACGAGGAGACGGTAGATCACCGAAAGGTAGGGTGGTATGAACCAGCGAAAAACGAGTTATCTACTTCACTTTCAGCCAACATTATTAGCAACAAAGACCTACCACAACAGATGATATTCGCTTATGTAAGCGTTAACCGGATAGAAGTTTAGATGGGAGGGTTGGTGACCACATTAACAGAAAATGCAACATTTTTATCGACATGACAGGCGTCAATTTCAATAAAAGACAGAATAAGGGATAGGCGTTTCCACTTGGAGCTTACGCATTCGTGTGCACTTTGAGCAGCTCAGAGGCAAGAACCAGTAGTGGTCCGGTTGCTGGCGAGAGCTCATTCGCCTGCTCGAGCAACGTCCACACCTGGGTGATCAACCAATCCCCTGTGTTGCCATAGGAAACGAGAAGGTCGCAGGGCACAGCTAGAAGAGCGTTGCATGCCGCTGAGCGTAGATCCTCCTCGCCGGCCTTTGCACTCTCGCCGGCGCCGTCAATCAGCATCGAGGTTAGGCTGGGATACACGACGGGTAAGAGGTCTTTCACCAAGTCCTGAGAACAAAAGATACGCGGATTTGAAAGTGCAGGCGTGTGTGTGTGTGAGCACGGGAGGTTAGCACAATGGAGTTCAATTGTGAATCAGAGCATTCACGTGCAAGACTAGGGCAAGTTAAGTGCGACGAGAAAGGAGAAACAGAATCACCGAAAGTGAGGACTCACAGCACGTGCCGACAGGAGGTAGTTGAGGCCAAGCAGGCCGCCGTGGACGACCATCCAGTTAGCCTTGGGGGTGGCAGGCCTCTTGCGACCTGGAAGCTGCTTCTCCTCCCTCTTAAGCATCGATACGAGGCATAGGAGGTGATGCACAACTTGCTGGATTTGGTCGAAGTCTAGGTGGAGCGACAGAACACCCAGCAGCTGCGCCGCGGTCTGGCGAACTGGAGCCACAACCTGAGAGAAGAGGCGGTAAGGTCAATCACAAGGCGTCTTCAGTGGCAGGTTGCGCGGAAGACGTTGCTTCAATTCAGTAGGAAAACTAAGGGCACCTTAATTTACACCACCTGTATCGTTTAATGGAAGATTAGCAGAAACCCACTCACAGGAATGATACGGTGATGGTTAAACCTAACCACAAAGTCGCATTCACTAGGCGAAGCGAAATTTGTTATTGTTGACGAGAAATCCACCACTTATGTAGGCGGATATTTTTAGACGAACGTCCCAACAGCGTGCGGTTTGCCTGATCGCATTAAACAAGAGTAACAAGCACGGACATTACATGACAGGGCTGTAAATACAACGCACTGTGGGAGGGTGTTTTGGCAGCAGCGCAGCGCCCAATCGATAGTCGGCAAGAGAGCAACATCAGTACCAGAAATAGGGGTGAATTATGCAATTCACAATACTGGAAGATGTCATTTTTTAGATCACTTCAGAGACAGGTGGCGCGTGACTGGCTTTGTGGTGGTTAGGATAAAGCTGCAGATTGCAAAAACGAACATTTTCGGTGTATTACTGAATGATTACTGGATTGCCGAAATGACTTTAGTCGACAACGCTGACCAAAGCAAAGCCCTCACTGAATCGAATCGTGGTTTTTTATCTGTGCAATCGCCTACACAGTGGTTAGTTATTTCACGTAGGACAATTGAGGGCGTTGTAATATGTCTTGACACAACGAATGAGTGTTTGTGGTACGCCTCGCAATATCGCAATAAACGCGTCTTTTCATTGAAACAAGTGGTCCCCCGCGATGAAATATGGATAGCCTAAAAGGAGTTGTGTGGAAAAGGAACATTGAAGCGCGATGAATTGCGTCAAAGTGGAGTGAGCTGTCACAATAGTGTGTTTCCCTCGAGGTGCTTCGAAGCTACCCATCGATTGATTTAGATTCTAACTTCCAACAAGTGATGAAGATGGAAAAGGACGCAGTGAGTGATGGGTAAGGGCCACCGCACAAGAGAAAGGCTCTACAATTAATTACATTTCATGCTTGGTATTGCGACTCGAGTTGTTTTTGACACCACAGAAGCGAAATTGCATTCGTGTCAGAACACAGTCCGCTTGGCATAGCTTTGCTGGCGCCACCGAAATCCACTCTGAATGCGTGCTTGGCAGGAGCAAAGGCGTGCGAAAGACGCGTATAGCTCGGTGCGATGGGAAGTAATGGGCGTACATGGGGAGTCCCCACATACCAAATTCAAGTGGAGGTTGTTGGGCGGACAGACGCATTACTGCCGTGTAAGACACTGGGCACGCGACACACGCAGTTGTCCAAACTTCCACTGACTTTTTATTAGACGATTAGACAGACGACCTGAGAACAATCCAAACGCACTGTGGTTGTCAATAACCGGTATGAGTAAAGGGTCAGTTTTAATGGGTACTGAGGAGAAACGCGAATTCCACAGAGGGCGCGTGTCAACAGCGCCGATGAAGCAGTGGGAGAAAGCGCGTCTAGAAATGTGTGCGCGTGGAGGCGTGAAAAAACGCATGACTCAGTGACAGCAGTTTTAGACTTGTGCGAAATCGTAATGGCAAATATGTGGAGGATACTTAGATAAGCGACAATGAGACCTCCAACGCGTGTTGGATTAAAAAACAACTAGTGACACATCGACGAGGGGAGAGTTGTGGAGGCACGACGTCACCTTGGCAATGAGACGGTATTCAAGTAAGGTGCCAATTAACCGTCCAGGTTAGAACGTGGTAGTCGGGGCGGCAACAAGGACATCAAATAAACCGAACATGATGAAAGGGCATTGGAGCTCTGTTTCACCAAACAAGTTGCATTTGAAGGCCGGTTTTTGGGGAGACAGTAGGTCATCACCCCAAAAGGTGACTGTGCGCAAGTTTAAGTGGATTACAAAGGTCAACAGTGTCGTGAATTTGGTCAGACCTTGGGTTGACCTCGAGAAGATGGCCCGATTTGAGCCATAATTATGCGCTTTAATGAAGTAGTACTATTGTGCCCTCCACCTCATCAACGAAGATATCGAAAAAACGGGATGTTACCTTATGGCACACTTGACCTCTGACCTTTGAACACTTCGGCTAATAGCTCCCAACAGATGACCTCGTGCTATCAGGTACATGACTTAATTTTTACAGATGTTGTCTTTGAGCTTATAAATGTATAATTAAAATTGTGGTCTTGGAAGAATCAGACGCAGCGTTTCAGAACACCTAACAACAAGTCTACGTGAGTTGCATAACCTCTTCCAGAATAGCAGAGCTTACGATGGTAACTGAAAAACAGCACATTCGACGGCACTACACTTTATACGAATTCCTACAAGGAAAAAAATGCTTCTTAGGAAACACTGGAATCAATTTGCAGTGTTCTTGGTGCCGGCTTTGTGTCTGATGATAAGTGTAATTATCGGTACAAAGGTTTTGGAAGTGGTGATTTCGGCCACGCCCCGGACAGCAGCCTCGAAAGTTCGAAGATGCGCAATTGTGAGCTCAATGCAATGAGGACTCAATGCAAACGCAAGAAGACCTTGCAGTAGCTCAGCTAGGAGTCACCCAAACACCTATTTGCAAGCGTTTTCACAAAATGGGGAAAATTTAAGAATCAAATGTTAGGTGTCACGTGTGCTGGCCGAACGCAACTGAGGCCAACGCATGAACACAAGCCTTGCTTTGCTTGCCCGCCGGCAACAAGCTGTGAATGGACTTCGTGGAGAAAATTGTGACAGATGATAAAAAAGTATACTTTTTGTCAGGAAAATCTCAAACACAAAAATTCGTGGGTAGATCCCGGATAAGTCCATTATGTCGATGCCGAAACAAGATATCCACTTGAAGAGGGTTCTCCTGTGTAGTTGATAACGTGCTCCTGGAAATCGGTCAGACTGTGACTGCGGAAGGCTACAGCCGACATTTGAACAAATTGAGCGATGAATTTGATAAGAAAAGCAATTTACTGGGCAAGAAAGCAGGCAAGTCATGCTGCCGCATGACAACACTCGACCTCATGTTGCTCACGCGACTCAGAAGACCCTCGTGAACTTGGGGTGGGAAGTTATGCTACATGCGGCATATTCACCAGACTTGGCCCCATCCGACTACCGCTTGTTCAGGTCAATGCAGCAGCAGCACGCCTTAGTGAATAAACAGTTCCAAACGCTGTAGACGATGTGCGTAAATGCGTCGGTGACTTTACTGCCTAGAAGTCTCCGAGTTTCTTGCACGACGGTACTTATAAGCTGTCTGAACGATGAACAGTATTTGCGAAATCAAGTTTGTTGTTCTCTATTACTAATATTAAATAAATTAGCCGGAAAATATGCAAGAATGAGCTATACACCTAATGTGTTTAGAGGATGGCAATCGGCGCATTCATTTGCATTACTTTGGGATCAAAACTTTCGTGAAAAACGGGTATTTTCGAGGAGACTTGACCGGACCTCAGTCGGACTCCTGGAGGAGACGACTCAATCTGGAGCATCATCAATGCTGGTAAAATCGACCTAAAAAAGTAGCGAGCCTGTAGCGCAGGAATTTCGAAAAGCGCATGACCACACGTACGACAACTGAAGATGTTGGAAGATGATGAAGCAATCGCCCACACACAAACACGTGTTTGTTAAAATGGCTTGCCTATTGGCTGAAATAGTAAGGGTAGATGCAAAAGGATCCCCTTTCACCATTGGCAACAGCTGACGCAGTCACCTCTCATTCCAAGGTAACATCGACCTCATCGTGGATCGGTCTGTGGGGCTCCGCATCAGCGCGTCCAAATTGCAGCACAAAGGCTTAAAGCACAAACAGGGACGCTGCTTGGCCGTGAAAACCCTTCGTAGATCAACGCGTACACACAAAAAGGAGCTGGAAATAACAACACTGGCGAAACTTACAACGTCGCAGGCGAAATCCGAGAACTGATCCAAGGCCAGAGTGCAGAGCACACGAACAACAATGTCCTCCACGTACATTCGGTTTGCCTTTTGATTCTGAAAGACACACCAGTTGGTACATTAACCGAAGACTGTGGGATAAAACAATAAAAATTTTTTACCCCGGAAAGCACTTTAGGAATCATTGTTAACCAAAATCTAGATGGTGGTTAGATACGTGGAATCACACAAATTTTTGACCGAACACGAGCGAATGTGGAAAGAATGGCCTTAGTGGAAATCGGACATCGCTTAATGAGTTAAAAGCATGCATACAGACGGCCAGTGTGTTCCAAAGACGGAGAAGGCGAATAATCAACTAGGCCGATTGTGCGAAGGATATCTAGATCGGTTCAAGGGCAAGTACTTCAACACCTAACTCGTATTATTTCAAGGATTTAAAAGGAAACTGGATGGTGGGATTACGCATGAACCACCATTGCCCCAACAAACACGTAAACACACGGTGACTGCTCAACGAAAGTTAAAAGGACCATTCACCATAACTCGAGTCAAGTGGACGTCACGAGCTAGAGTGCTTAGCTAAGGGCACATAAAAAGTACGCGTTTACGGGTACAAAGAAGTGCAATAACATCGAAATAAAATATCGCACTGACAAGAGGAAATGAGTTTGGTGATATTGGTGTCACAAGATGGAGCGTTAAATGTGAAGTTTGGTTTCCAGAGGAGTGGCGACCACGAGAGAAAAACTCGAGCCACATCCAGTGACCGAGCTGGATACGGTGAATCGGGTGGATCAAAAGAAACCGAGAAGCCCGCCTACCTCGATGTCAGAAGCCCCATTTCTCGTGCCCGCCTGGTTTGTGTGTTGAGGCAGAGAGAGGAGTTCGCGCAGGCCAGAGGCGGCGCCGTGGCGTGTCTCCCAACGACAATCCCACAGGTCGGCCAGGAGGCGCACGCAAATTCCATTCAGCGGCCAGTCGGTGTGGAGGCTGCATTGGGTCGGCTTTGTGGTGTCACCCTCCTTTGTGGCGCTGAGAATTCGGATGAAAGAGAGGAGGCGTTAGCATGGTGGCAACACAAAGGATACAATCGTATCACCAGTAGCGAGACTCCTGCGAAAGCTACACACACTCACGCACGCACTAATCAGGTCTGCGCGCCGTGTACTCGTATTTCATGACACAAAAATAACCAGGGCGGCAACGTCGGCAAAGGGTGATTATGAAGTTTTAAAAAAGAAAGATTAAATAAACAAAACCTGCGAGTTTACAGGAAAGGTGAACATTCGCCATACCTAAATCAGGGAGAACCGAGGGGCATACATAACGAAAGTGCTTATTTCTTTAAGATTGAGCAAGCAACCAGAAAGGCAAGAATATGAAACTTGAATAAACCTACACCCACGTAGCTTGAACCACTCAAAATTCCAAATGCAGTCTTTTAATTTGGTGCGGTTAAATCTCCGGGTGATTGTAAACATTAGTAAAATATTAACGAAGGAAACACTTCCTACACCCTAAGGCGACGCGCAATCAGATAAACCCAAGGACAAAATGACCAAGGCCTGAGAAAAACAAGAGTGAAACAACGGAGAACTGACTTTCACACGACATGCGCCTCTTACCTTGATGTTGTGTAAATGAGCCAATTTATGTGACTTGGGGCTAACTTTCAGCTTCATTACCCCCACCAAAAAAGTCATCCGGACAAGAAAAAGTTGGATAAATCGCTGTAACGGGAAAGTGCATGCTAAATTAAGCCCACTAAGAAGCCCTAATTCCAGACAATTGTTGAGCGATAACAACCTTACGAGGGAGGGGTGACAGTAACAAAAAACACGACGACAGGATAATATCCCGTCGGTGTCAGAACAACACCATCAAGTAAACAGCAATGTTTGCCAATTCGCAGTCGGGCAAGAGTGGAGGTGATGCTGCGATTCCATCGTCCACTGACCAAAGTCACTGAACCCCGAACACAGTATTTCGATTCTTTAGGCCTCCGTGACTCGTTTAGAGGAACTTTGTTAATTATTAATTTGAGAATGACTATAGACATGGGAGAATACGTGGGAGGAAGCTTGGATCTAGGTCATGCGAAGTGGAGGCAAATTTGCAAAAAAAGATGTAGAAGCTAAGTAACTGCACCACAAAAGTGGTGTGACGGCTAAAATTAACTTGGAGTGTGTTGTATGCAAGGAACAGCCTCTGGTTTAAATATAAACTGCCGGGTGGGGAGGAGAGGTTGCGTCAAATGATGGCGAGGGAGACGATTAGCGTTGAAGCTAGGCCCAGACATCCTGGGGGAGACACGAGGGGTGCCACAAGAATGAGGACTCAAGGCCAGACAAGAGACTGGGGCAGTGGTGGGCGTATCGGACATGAATACGAGGTCTTTGATTGGGGTGTCTACCTCTCCCTCTCCCTCTCCCTCCATGAAGCCTAGCCTTTGTGTGTTTTAGACAGAGGACGTTAGTATCGTTTTTATGGGCGTGTTTATGACTTCTAATTTGCAGTACACACACACACAGAGAGGGGATTGAAGAAGATTTGTGGATACGGCAGACGGTTACGGTGATGTGCATGTAGAATAATAAGTGTGCTTTGTAAGAACTTGAGCGGACAAATTTGGGCGACCTGAGCGTGGAAATACCACAGAGGCCTCGAGGTGTGTGAGCGGTGCTGGCACAAACGCCCGATACCGAGGGCCGTGTGAATTTGATTCTGCTGTACCTACTGCGTTTTGCTATCTAACACGGTGGGGATTCAAGAGGACCACTGATGCTAAAAGGAGGCATTTCACACTGCCTTTCAAAGGTAAAAAAGTTGACTCTGCTGCTTCAGACGTCAGAAAATCAGACGTTTTGCCTCTGGCGCAACATAGTAGCTGGGGAAAATGCAAAAAAACAACAACAGATAAACAGTAGCACTGAACAAGGTATCATGCATCACTGTGTGCACAGTGCATGGGAAATGACGAAACCAACGGTCAATTTTGCGAATAGAAAGAACAGCACTAAATATGATAACAACAACAATAGCGAGGCTATGCAGGTTGTGACAGCCCACGAAAGTGAAATTTCAAATTACTACCAAGAGCAAAAACACGACTCTGTCAAGTGCGGAGAGAGGCAGACAGTGATAAGGAGATAGGTTTTGTGACAAAAAAGCACAATGTGTACCTGTGGTCTTCTTTTGTTGAATCGACACGCCCCCTGTTGTAGGCACGATTTACGCTCTCCTGAAATTCAGCAGAAAACAGCCGATGTTAAGGCAGTACATCTAATCGATTGTTGCGATCATCAAGAACATGGGGGAAGGGATGACCTGGGGTTAATCCTGACTCAGCGACCGTTACCACTACCTCTGGTGTCACTACTTCTGACAACCGCGACAACGGAACACGATGTTCGATGTTAATTAGTGACACTAGTGCCGCCTAGATGCGACAATGTTATGCATAGGCGAGTGGCGATGACCTTGTGTAAGATGCGCCAACGGGATATTTGTTTCCCTGGGCATCCGTTGCAACGCCTGGTTTAGAACACATAGCCGAAGCGTGCGTGACAGGAGCAACACGAAAGGCAATGGTAGGTACGCAGAAACCCCTTGCAATGCAACAGTCTTTGTCAGGCTTTACAAAGGCAGACATATGTATTCAATCACCCCACATTCCTCCTCGCTTCACGAATTTTTGCCAGGAGAAAATCACTTTTAGCCTTTATCACACGCACACACACATTACCCACCAAATATTCGCGTGCATCAGCTATATGCCGCCTAACTTGAAATCCCAATAACACTCGGAGGCAGCAGTTTATGACAATTTACTAAGTGCCATGGGGAATGGGGGCGCAGCAGATCGCAACAAATGCCGCGACTTGTTGCAGCATTTGGGAGACCAAGACAACCCACCGTGACATCGGGTTCATTTTCGTCCGCCCCCACCTCCTCCGGATGCAAGTCGGCATCTGAGATGAGTTTGGATATCGACGTGTCCGAGGACTGTTCGAGGACAGTGGAGATAAATGACCCGGCGTCGCCACACAGTCCGAGTTGACGGTTTATCTCGCTTCTGTCAAGCAGCACTCCGAGTTCTGCGCCTCTCGCAGGGACACAGTCTAAGTTGGAAGATGAATAGAAGTGGTGAGGTGAGAAGGAGCAAGTGAAGATTCACGGCAATCAAAGAGTTATTGGAGTACGCACAGACCTCGACAACCGCGTACTGATTTTACATGTTTTCTTGGTTTACTGCGGATCTGATAAGCACGGGCTCTTGGTAAAAGCTGAGAATGCAAATGATCGTCTACGGTGGTACAGTGTTTTTGAAGTGAAAGATTCCTGAGCTTAGCCACAGGGCGCTGCTCGCGTGAGTCGCCATCACGTAGCGTTTGAAAGAGTTCTGTCTAGATTAATTGAATAGGGCAAGAATGCGTCTACTGTAGCCTTCGAGTGTACAACGAGGAAATTCCCTAACCCAACGTACACGCACACACAGACCACCAAATTGTTTTCCCGAAACAGTTGTTTGTTTTCACGCACACACACACACACACACTCGAGGAGTCTTCGTCCTTGTGCGCACGACATGCCCCCTGCCCACTCGCCTCCGCATTTGTTTTCGCATACATGTCGCAGAGCGCCGAACGCGGCAGCAGCAGCAGCAGGCGTGACAAAAACACGGCAACAGCAAACACTTCAGTCCCACCCATCAACCACGGGCAAATCCAAAGCTGAGTTTGTTTTACTTGGGCGCCGATTCACCAGTGTGCGTGTGTGTATGTGTGCACTGGCAGACGATAGCCCGATGAGTTCAATGTGTTGATGGCGCCTCTCGCGTGACTAATGTGTGCGTATCGCACCTACAACAATCCTCAGACCCCCATTGGGTAAATAGTGGCTGATCGCCGTTACCTCACAATTGTGTCTACACGCCATTCACGTCGAGCTCCAGAATACCACGCAGCCCCTTCATCCTCTCCTTCTCCTGCCTTCCCAACTTAGCAGTTAACGCAACTTTCTTATCAATCAATCACTATTTTGAGTAACAGCATGAGCTGAGTTAATGCGTTGGATGTTCAGTTTTTAAATGCCTGGAGGACTAAAGAAAGTGTCTGTGAGAAAATACCGGGCTAACGAAATGGCACCACAGACGATGTAGCTAAAAACACGAACTGCCACCGGAGAATGCTTTGGGAGCAAACCGATAGGCCCTAATGACGATTCTGTACCCCCCCTGGAATCTTCCTGCGATTTTAAGCCTAGTAGCACATCTCAAACCGTTTCGACTAGCGAGAATGTGGCAGGTCGTTGAGGAAACACGCCAGGGCGACGCACTCCAAACGCGCCTTACCCTTTTGGTCGGAAGCAGTCCCCTTCTTTGAGCGCTTGGCGGTGGTGGATTTCGTGATGGGTGCGGTGGAGAGCTCGCGCAGGTCCATACTGTAGAGCCGGGCGCCGTTTTCAAGCACATGGTCCAAATCAAGACCGGAGAGCGAGAGAAACGACGACGACGACGACGACGGAGGCGAAGCCGTCTCGGGCTTCTTCGCTACCGACTCCCCCGCGTCTCCACTCGCGGTTGGCTTCCAAGCGGGCAGTTGGGAGACCATGGCGCGGATCGCCTCAGCGGCCGCCACGCGTGATCTCCAACTTTTGCTGTGCAGAAGGCCATGCAGCTACAATTTAAGTAACAAAAAAATTAACAATCCCCTCTCACTACACTCGATCTAGCGACAGTTGAAAGAATGCGCATTTTGGGAAGCTACATTTAGCAAACTTAAGGGGATAACTGTGCAAGACCATGGCGAAACGGAGTGTCGAGTTATTGGCACATGTACTTCCCCTCCTTATCACGGAGGTATTGTAATTGCGCTGTGACTCCCGTCGGCACCACCTACAACTGATACCGCATTCCCATTGCCCAGGCAAACATCTCACACACACTACTCTACTCACACGTAAGTCAACTTATCCCTCGGTCGTTCATCTTTACTCTAGAGCTGGGATGCAATTCCTGTTGCAGTGGAACAGAGACACGATTAATCCACCCACGAATACCATCGAATCAATCGGAAATTAAGGCTATGGAGAGGGAGCGAATTTGATGCGGAACACTAGGACCGTTCAGTTAATAAGCGCTCCGCCATCAACAGCTAACCCAAACGGTGCCGCGTGAGACATTGTGCGCATAAGATTCATGCGGGAATCAATGAACACTTCTTGCAATGGCGTAGTCTCAGGAAAACGACAAGAGCTTGATATATTTTGAAATTAACAAGCGGTCCGGAATAAAGACATTTCTTTCAAGAATGCGGGATGCATGCAGAAGCCGCATGGAAAGACTAATAGAGCACACATGAAAGCAGCCAAGCCCTGCACTTGAAAGATTCTCGGGAAAGAAGGGAAGAACCTCGATAAGTGAATGCAATTTAAAAAGTTTGGCGCGATCTTTGGTGCTTAGAAAACCATAAAAAACAAGCACGGAGCAGAAGCAGAGGCTTGTGCTTCCGGAGAATCGTTTATTTAGAGACAAAAGGCAGTGTTGCACAACATCCACATCACAAATCAGTAAAGTGAAATTTGTCGGCCTGCACATTAGCGGTTTTGACGGCGTTGTGTACACGAAAGCAATTGCCCCTCGCACAACTGACGGCCAAAGCCCGTGATTTACGATGCGTGTTTACCGAGAAATTGCTCCCGTTCCTGAACAAAATACGCCACTAGCAATGGTTGATTCTAAACGGCTCCGACGCTAATCAATCGAATGGCTTGACCATCGGTGGAAGAGAAGAACTTGTAATCCACCGGAGACACATTCAAACTTTCCAAACTGATTACTCAAAATTTCACCTACGATTAAAGACTGATTCCAAGTTTTACAGCTTATTACTAACAGATTGCAGCTTTATACGCATTAACGGCTAAGGACATGTTGCTGAAGGAGACTGCATCTGTGTTGGGTTTCGCACAACACATAAGCCAACCGGAAATCCACTCTCTAACACAGAACAGGAACTGGCTGTTACAGAGCGCCACGATAGTCTTCATGACAGGGCGGTCCAGTTGGTGCGTTGGGAAACACACCGACGGCGCATGAGTGGACACGTACGTGGACGCCAGTCGTCACGCGCGTCTAGTGTGATGCTGGTTTGTTCTCTGGTCCCCGCTTTCACCGAGCATCCACGTGCACATGAAGACTGGCAGGCGCTTTAGGTTACCGTCAGGCCCATAGCGTTATTTGTAGGAATGCGGAATTCCAACTCTGAACAAGGCATTCACCCGAACGAAACGATCACTTTATTCATTGGGAGAACATGTGAGAGTCCCAATCCGATACCGCTCTGCTTCAGAGGAGTCACCACCAAAAAATGCAACCATCGGTCTACGAAATCAGATCTCCCATCCTGCGGTGGAACGAAACTCCAGCGTACTTAAATGCATTCAAATCAAACCTCAATGAAGCAGAACCGCAAACGTCAGCCACGAACTTCTACAGTCACAATACTGTTAATGGTTTGACGTATGGATGGTGCTGACACCAAAGGAGCCTTCAAGTGCGAAAATGTCGGTCGATATATTCGGTGGGCCCGTCAATCGCCTAGAAGATTGCAGCCAAAATTGTGTCAGGAGTAGAAGTGGGATTCACACGATCACACAGAGCATAGAACCGAGCTAACGGTGAAACCAAAAACAGGAAATCAGACTTGTGCCCCGACAATATTAAAGTAACCACGACGAAGCAGTAGGCATCACGTTTTGAAATCCATGCAATATTCAACGGAAGGAAATTTGTGCGCAAACCATCAAAAACCACGACGATGTCCGCTAAGAGGAGAGATCAGATCTGCTAGTCGATTTAGACTACCGATCATCATAAAAAATGTGGCCACGAGAATGGAAGACATTAGAATCTCTGACGCCTATAGGACCTTTGAATAACAGTTACCCCCACAACAACGCGTTACATGAGGGGAAAAATAAAGCATCACGAATTCCATTAAACACGTGAATTTAGTTGGGTGTACTGAAGAATTTGTGAGTCAAGATGCTTGTGGACTAGGTTAGGCTTTGGGTACTAAGGAAGGTCATGATACAAGCGATCCCAACACGGTTAAGAAGGCAGTAGGTGAAGTTAAATGCGAATCCGTGACTTACCCTGAGTAGCGTCGCGTCGACGTCTTCAGGGGCCTTCTTGGCGAGCTGACCGAGTTGGCGAGCCGCGGTGGCCCGCAAAGTTGCATTAGGACAGTGCTCAAGAAGAGATAGGAGGCGATCGAGGCTAGCAAACAAGAAAGAGACACATTGTGAGATGATTATCGTGATTATTCGCAGTGCCCACGTGTAGGAAGAGCAATTCAATAATATAAGGGATTATACGGTCCGCCCACACAAAGTGGGCCATTTTGACGTAAATGCAGGACCTGTCCATGCGTCTCCGGCGATAACGGAGACCGCCGAAATATAGCATGCAGGTGGTGCAGGAGCGCAAACAGTTGCCTGAATAAGTTGAGGGGTAACATCTAAAGTACGCCTAACACCAGCAGAAATCATTTGTTGAAAAGTCTGAAGGGCTTGGGTAATTTTACTAAACACTGATTTTGCAAAATTTAGGCAACGGAAGAGGTTCTGACGAAGTCAATGTTAATAGACACTGACTAAAGAGGAAGTCAATAGTACGAAAACGCACTAACGCATCCTAAGGTTATTTGCAAGTTCATCAACACGACTAGCTTGATGACACTTTTACTGTTGATATCTGCCTATCAACTATCGAGGATTCATTGCACAATGTGACACGATTTTGCCCATGGAAAGCCCAGAGATGGATGTAACTTAATGACGGCGCGATCCATATTTGGAAAAAGAAACTATTTTACGTAATTGAATTCCACCATCTACTTGGCCGTTAAGCTCAAAAATAATGACACTACGAAGAAGAGCAGTATTAGGAAACTACTGAAAAAGAGAAAAAAAAACATAAAATGCAGTGCGCACAAGAGTGACGCAGAAAGCATGTTATGTACATTCGAAAAGTTTGCCAGGCTCTTTACTTCTGCAAGCTACGCTGCCGGCTATACTGGATACTAATGCAGAAAGACCGGGGTATGAGGGCAAAACATCTACGCCCCACAAGGACACCGAACCTATGGACGCCCTCGAACACCACGAAAAAACTGGAGTTTGGGGCGTCGCATTTCCCAAGTCTACAATATGTGATCTAACAGGCACTACCGAATGTTAATTTCCTCGGTCTAAACAGGAACAACGACGATGTAAATTTCGACATTGTATGAACACAAAAGATTGTTTTTCGACTGGAACAGAACAAGCAGTAACGGAACCTTAAATGAGAGCTAAGGTCTCAAAACACACCAAAAAAATCGCGAATGTACACCCCGAAAATAAGGTAACTGTGGCAAAATCCCGACCTAACATTTAGGCTTATTTTCTACGAAACCCAAAACAATTTTAAATACATTTAGAACAGTTTTTACCGGCTTGACATGAAGCTTTAAAACAGATGCTTTGGATGTCCTGTAATCCAACTGGAATAAGAGCCCCTATGTCGAAATTCTCGGACAACGCTAAACTACGCAGCCACATCTCAAACTTATTTATACTAAGAGCCATTTTAAGCCGCTTTACGCTTTAAAGGGACCACATCGGTTCCCATTGGTCAAGCTCCGCGAAAAAACAACATGGCCACATATTCGACCTAAAACCGATTTACATAAAGAAACATATTCATAACACTGATTGCAAAAATATCATTATAAAACACATTTCAAAATATAAATTAAGTTGCAAAAATTTAAATTGTGTAAAAACAAAGGTAACATTTACTTGGGCCTGTGTTGCAACTATTTTGCCATTATTGGACAGAAAGTGACCAAGATAATGAAAATTATTAATTGAAATTATGCAATTGCTTTCACTAATTACATACACAAGCTTGTCATTAAATTAAGTCTGAACAATAATTCTAAATATGTGGTACATAAATACTGCGGTATCTGAATGCCTGCAATGCAGCTTAATTTTTTATGATGCAGAAAAGATCTTGTCGGGTATTATTAAAATTAAACGACACGCTGGTTAGTCTTGCAATCTTTTGCTTAAAATAATTAAACTAATTCAATCAGAGTAACATTTTTCACTCCCCTAATTGTCGTACTCAGTCTCGTACATTATTTTAAAATCTTAAAGGCAGTAACTTGACTGGAATCATATATACTTTTGTTACGCTAATATTCTGTACTATGAAAAGTAATGTATTGCAGTTTTTGAATTTAAAGTTTTTGTAAATAGAGATGGATTGGTGCCTGTTAACTAACTTCATTTGGGATCCAAGAATATGAAATGATACCTCTAATATTCAAAAATAAATGTGCCAATGTGCATACAATACTTTGCTTTAAGTGAACAGTATTGATTTAAGAATCAACAATGTCGCCTCGACATTTTACACATGGTTCCCATTTTCACAGTGGAGCGGTCATTAGACGAAACACTTTTCTTATAATTGTCTGAGCATGTACCTGCATTGCTAATCACTTCATTTATCTAGCCAATTATTCATTCATGCTTTAACTTGCTTACCAGTATGTGTTGGTTTACACCCAACTTGGTTGAACATAAATTCAAATCCATTGCGATACGCAACATCACAACTAGGTTGGCCTACCTAATGAAGATTATTACTCATATGTTTATTTTGATCATGACGGTTCAAAGACCTAATACAAATGCAAGCATCTGCATGGCCATATAAACTAAGTAATGATGGCAAATGCAGAGGGATCGATTAGCAAGCGGTCATTCATGTGTGACGTCCTGAATCATATTATCATTTGTATTGGCTTGACAATTGTTGGAACTTTAAATTACGACAGAATACCATTTTTTTGGGCATTTAAAATTTTTATCGAACACTAATCTTTCAGTCCATGCACTTCATTATCTTTTTAATATCCGCGGCACCTCCATTTTTTTGCGTTATGCGTTAAACGGGAAACCAAATCCGTTTTTTCGTTTTTGATAGTAATTTTTGGTAACACTGCAACAGTAATCGCTTTAAAAAAAATATATTTTTTTTTCTAAAGCAAAGAAATATCTATATTTTGGAAGCACATCATATACGAAAATCTACATCACCTCAGTTAATATGACTTTGCATGTAAGGACGACATTGCGCTTAATAGACACATTATTGAAAACCCTTTGCTTCTTTGATTTTGCATGTGGCTTTAATTCCTTAATGTGATTGGCACTGTATGGTCCTGGGGTCCTTCTAATGTAATGGCCATGACGCTCTAGAGATGCCCAGAGGACAATAATAAGACCACAAAATAAAGACAGCAGTTTACAAGACAGCGTAGTCTTGTTGCGTGCCTGTTGCACCATTTACGAAAAAAGTACGTAGAAATAGCGACAATTGTTGACAATTAGTGTCTTGGTCTATTCGTGGACTATCATAAATGCCTTCGAAGCTAGATGAAGATAACAGGATATGTGTGGGAGGTTCACGACCAGGGGCGCATGAGCAGACTATTTTATGTAATTGATATTTACGAAAAGGAGAAACGTGTGGTAGAAAATCTGCAAAATGTATTACTCGACCATTTTGCTCGATAATTAGCAAAGACGTTTTGTATGTGGCGCTGCCCAATATTCAAATTAAAATTATGCAAAATGACCAAATTACGAATGTTAGAGGACTTATCGCATTTGTATGATTTCTACGCACTTACCTTGTGAATCATCACAGTTTTATTAATGTTGAAGACTGCTAAACAAATATGCCGTAATTTTGTATGTACACATCATAAATTGAAAGCTTTAATTTTGTAATATAATAATGGGCAAAAAAATTTGAAAAACAGTTATTTTTAATCAGGTATAATACTTGGTTCAATTAAATTTGGTATGCATTAATCGCGAATGTGATTTGAACAACCCAGTGACACCCTTTCAAACACTTTCAAATTTACGGGCGCGCTCGATCGTTGTTCCTTCCAATTGTCATGGATCTGAGTCTCGATGAAATAATTTCAAAGAACCGAACTGCTAGACGGGGACGTGGTTCAAAACTACAAAATAACCTCAGAAGGACTAGTGGTGGACGTATTCAAAAGCGAAAGAGTAATGAATTTCCTGTAAGTTTGTTTAGTGCATTCTTGACCATCTCCTGTAGAGGCGAAGCCTTCCTGATAAATGGCAGCATGATCTATTCGTTGGGTCTGTGGGCGGTGGACCGAAGGGAAACGCAAAAATACTAATTTCAAATTTGGATTTCGGAGTAAATGATGACGACATACAGGTTTGTTACGCTCCTTGAGTTTCATTGTGTTTTCAGGAACTTTTCCAAGAATTTGGTGTCCTTCGACGCGCCGCCGTTCATTACGATCGCAGTGGTCGATCTCTTGGCACTGCTGAGGTAATCTATACTAATCGCGCTGACGCCGCCCGAGCTATTGAGCGCTACAATGGGTTGCCTCTCGATGGTCGTCCCATGAATATCCAACTTGTTGGAGGTGCAGGTTAGTCCGGTCGTCGGAAACGATCGTCAGACTGAACTCAGTTCTGGCATTACTTTTCATTGCTGTTTGATTGCGTCCGTACTCACGTGGATGAAGCTTTCTTGCAAGTCTACGTCTCCATCACGCGCCGTCCATTGCAAGGATTTCACCGGGGTCGTTCCAATGGACTTACGGGTTGTACATTTGTGCCAGAGGTTTGATTGCATACTCCTTTTGTTCCGTTTTTGCTAGTCCCATGCATAGACTAAGTTCTAGTTTTGTTGGTGTTCAATTCAACCAGGAACTTTTGACGTTCTAATGTATACTTCCAAGTGAAGGTGTTACTTGGTTATAGGGGCAGGAATTGCGCAGTAGTATGAAATTCAAAACGCTTGTGTTTCCTCGACACTCAATGCGATTACCAAGCAGTCGGAAGGATCATGCTCCTTAAACATCCCCATGAATGTTTTAATTCAAATTTGGACTGACCGTCTCCGGTCATCTTAGGCATGACGGCTTTTATGATCTTGTTCGTTGTTATGTGCTCAGCATGACCATGTTGAATGGGGCGTGCCTTAGGGAAAGTAAGCGTGTTAAAACCTTTGAAATTAAGAAATTTAGATAGGGCTTCTTAGATTTGAATACAAAAATTGCGTTTCGGTGAAATTCGGGGTTAGCCGACAATTGAGGAATTAATTTTCCCTAATAGAATATTTAGTAGTAACAGACTGTTTAAGCAGTCTCTACCCTTTGTTTATTTCATTAAGTTGCTCAATATGGTATTTGCGCCTTTTGTTGAGTCAAAGCAACTGTAATGCCATAATAAGGCAATTCTGAACAAAGCTTCAGTTATATATCTCGTATTCTCAGCCTTCTGTCGAAACTGATTGGGAATCGTGATGTTACTACCCTTACTTATGTCAACCGACCATCTTTTCCCCTAATTGTAACAAGGAACCCAGCCAAGTACAAACGGAACGCGTATCCGACTAGGTGGGGTCTCCGGTGGTATTCGTGGAAGGCCACAACGGGGTCGTGGTGGAAGGGGTGGACGTCGTGGAAACCGCAACACACGACCCACGGTCACTAAGGATCAACTTGACGCAGAACTTGCGGCCTACACCGCTCAGGTGAGCTATTTATGCGTGCTCGACATCGTTTATCGATCGATGAGGCTTCATTGTGGTGTCTGTGTCTTCGTCGCGTGCGTCTCATTAGTCCATCATTTGGAGACGCTTGTCGTTTTGAAAGCTGCTTTTCATTTGCAATGCACTATCGACGTTCCCGATTTTCTGAAGATGGATGTCATCCGGATTGTGACTTATTCCTGTCTTCCTCATGCAAACAAAACTAGTTTTTATGCCTTAATCCGATTTCGCTGAAAACGCCCCTACGTTCCTGTCGTGTTTTGAGTAAGTCACAACTATGCGACTACGACAGGGCTCCATACCTTAACTAACTGTGACTACAGTAATGCACTATACTGAGGATGTTTCACATGAAATTTGGTTCAATATATTTATTTGATTTCTCTTGTTTCCTCAGGCCACAACAATCTCTGCAGCAAACTCGTAAAATTCGACAAACTGAGGTACTTTTTTTCTTTTAAACCGTTCTTTGAATATCCCTATTTAACATATGCTTCCCTCAAGCACTAGGCGCTCATCACGTTTTCCTTAGAAATCATTTAATGGGCCGTCAAGTTTGCTTAAAGAAATGCAAATCTCCTGCCTCAATTACCTTATGCGGATTTACGCAGTCGTCAATGCTTCTTTCGAGTGGCACCGGATGATGTGCACGCATTTTTGATGACGACTCCTGTCTAAGCACTTGCTCGCTTGCTGCACTCTTCTTGATTTCAATTAAGTGTGCAGAATTAGTCATTGAAGTGGGCAGACTTGGTTTCACCTCTCTTGACGTAATAGTCTGCATCGAATCATTATACTAACAAAACAGCACCCATTTGTGCCTATACATTGACTACTCGAATGACACCCTTGTTTTGCTTTTGCAGAAAGGCTGATTCACAGCACCGCAGCGTCGCCGTTTTATCTCATCCCGCCCTTTGTGTCCTTCTGTAACGCGTATTTTTACGAATAAACGAACTGCGCATTTGTTTTGTACAATATAGTTTTATGTGGCTTCTGGTCATAGTGTTGTTGATCGACCCCGAGCACCGGCCTAGTTTGGCTCGTGTTTGCTTTAATGGATGGGCCTCGCTTTGCCTCGTGGTTTCCGCTCTGGAGCTTCACGTGACTAGAAATTCTTGAATATTTAGTAGAACCCTTCTTACAACTCACTTGTGTGTGTGTGTGTTTTGGCTCTTGGCCCAATCGGTGAGTACTCCGAGTGCATCCGGATGTGAGGCGTCGCAGTCAGTCTTTGATGGTGCGTTGCGTGGGCTTTTGCACTTTAACATAGCAAAGTTGATTAGTCGAGATGCGGGTAGTGTGTCAAAGCGTCTAGTGCCTAGCAAGCCACTAAAGATTTTAGAAGTCAGGAATGCTTCTGTGAAGGTCCGGTGTTGGTGCCGTGGGCTCCTAGCACAAAACATTATTAGATGGTGTGAGTACTGGTGTCCCGAGGGAGTGCGTAGTGAGTTCGAGCTGAAATTTTTATGCCTAAGGCTACTCGAATCCAGGGTTGAATGGAGGCCGTGTATCCTTCACGGGCTCGTTGACAAACACCGCCTCCTTGAATAGCTGAAGAGGTTGTTAGACACTGGGAGTTGACCTGGGTGGAATTCCCTCGGAGTCACCCACTTGTTGAGACTCAGTTAAGCTACACAGGTACCCGGGCAGGCTAGAAAGCCTTGAGTCGTCGCAGGCAAACCTTTATTAGGCGGTTCGACTCATTGAGTCATTCATCCATGTAATTACTTGTTAGCATAAGCAGTTGTGAAAGAAGAGAGGGATTATCGGAAAGTGATGCCTGGGCGGCAGATTTGGTAGACGTGAAGTTACGCAATCCACCAAAGGTTGTCGACAGTGAGGTTGGGGCCACTTACTCATCAGTTAGTGCCCGAGAATCTGCGAAGTGTTTTCACATCCTTGACTGTTCACCGATCACCAAGCAGACACTCCTCTATATTACTGATCGAACTTGCTAGCAACCTCTGTTTCTGCATTCCCATCGCCTAATATCCTGTTTAAGAAACTTCGCTTTTTTACGGAAACCTGCTCTGCAACCAGACCATGTTGTAGAGGGAATTGTGACGCCGCTTCATCGAAATATGCCGCTTCACTACCGTGACTACAGTCGGGGGGGGGGGGTATTCTGAAGAAGAAACGAGAAGTGGTGGCTGAAATCACTCTGCACCTCCGGGTTTCTTGTTGGGCACAAACAAAGAATCACCAATAGGTTACTTCGTGGATGGGTCTTTGGACATAGTTAAATAATTCTAGTATTAGGTGGTGTCACACAGAGATAACTGCACACAGGGGAAGTTTATTCAGAAGAAAATTATCGTAACTGGTAGTACTCAATTCGCGCTTCTTGAAACGTGATCGACCTGTCACACAAATATATATTAAACGCAATCAATCATTCGTCACCTTTATAACGGTAATACCAAACAAGAGAATGTGTTTTGCGGATAACATTTTTACCAAAAGATGTGTATTCTACCACTACTATGGACTTGACATTTTAAAGAGTAAAAATTGTTTTTAGTGGGAAAACTTGTGCACGTAATTATCAGGCTCAGTAGTTAATGCGCGGTGAAAAGTGGTGTCCTACCAGTGTGATTTTTCTCACCTCAATTACCTTGCGCAAGTAATTACCACCTTTCCCTCGCTTCACATAACCGTGGACGTGGCAGGAGCTCCGGAGGTGCGTTTCTTGGCGCCATGCTCCCTAATCCTTGGGCTACTTTAGACGCTCATTGTTTCAGAAGGATGGGAATTGATTTATCACGTTTCCCTATCGAAGTTTCAGGTAATTTTAAATCATTTATGCTCAGATTTGGTGAAAAATCCTGCCGTTTCTAGTCTCTGAAATCAACTTAAATCCAATTGTCGGAATTTGCTTTGCTTCAAAAGATTTAAACAGCTCGCCGGAACACTCACTGACTTGCATTCCTGTGTTTACTGACCACTTTTGCTCCCATAGTTTCCCTGACCAATAAGATTCGTCTTGGCACAGCACCTCTCTGCCTCTGATTGGTCGAGATCTCATTCTGGGTTGGGCACCAAATTATGATACAGTCAGTTTTGAGTGACTGAAAGCTTTTTGCAAATTTTGAATGTCTATATAAACCCAGTAATAGCATTGCATTTCCTGCGTCCCTGAAAATACCTTTCAAAGGACTATTCAGCCGGTCGCCTACAGGGAATCTTGTCGAGGACTTTGGAGTCAAGGTCATTGTAAGAGATGACAACCGTTTTCAACACGGAATAGCTCGAGACCTGATTCACCAGAACTTCTGAGAGCAACGAAAACAGCCCACACGGATTTCGTTGGAAAAATCGCACTGTTTGTTGTAAATCGCGCCGTCTCACGCCCTCAGACACAATTTCCCCCTTTTTGCAGCGAGCCCTCAGCCTGGCGGAACCTCAACTCACACCTCATTAGCGCGAGCGATTATTCTGAATTATCACCACGCCCGATGACTTCCACCTTTGTTTCAAAACGGTTGTATCCACGTGATCTCTGGTCTTCTTCATCATCGCGGGTAGCAGGGTAGCTTAATCGGGCTAGTGGCCCCAGCGTTGTACAAAACCACTTGCCGGGATCCTCAATTATGGTGTTATGTCGCACCAATAAGTCGTGATAAAAGTAATTAAACTCAGGTAATTGGTAAGTGCGGCCCCATTATTGGCTCCTGTTAGTGTGTAAAGCGTCCTGATGCAATTTAGTCGTTGCACATTTAACATATGATCATGTAGACAAACTACTCGAACACCAGGCGAGAATACAAGTTTTTTTAACGTGACAGATTTTTGTGGTGAAGTACTGGCAGCATCAATGTTTGGTAGAGAATTCGGGTGTTTCTATCCGTAATGCCTCGATGCTTCATGCACCGTTG